AGCTTGAAATGTAAATCTGATCCCTGACTGATTCCCCTCCCCTCCATAAACTCACTAGTTTATTGATGCTGCTCTTGTGTGCACCCAGATACCATAGCCCTTTTGTATACATAACTCCCACTGTGGTCAACTGGAATTTGGTGTGTGCAATGAACTGCAGGTTTAGGCCTATTATTATTTCTGGTGTGCAGCCTATTAAAAAATACAACTAAGTAAAATCATTCTTTTTGGCTTGCCCCATTTACAGATAGTTGTGGAGGGGTTTTGTGGGGAGAGGGAGCATGGTAATTACATGCTCCCAATTAAAAATACTGCTGTAGCCACCTTCACCTAGCCACTTTCCACACCAGAGTTCCCTCACAATCCTTATTAAAATAGTTATTTTTATTTTATGTAAATTGTTACCATACATTAGAATGAAGTAAGTACTAAGACAAAAGAAGGAAAGAAAAACTTCCTGTACTGCTAAATAGTATACATTTGTTTACCACTGTATAGGACCACAATTAAATAAGATAAGTGAAGACAGGAGATTTAAAAGAGGTGCAATGTTCTGGGTCAAGGATGCCATGTCAGCACTTTCAATGTGGTTTTAAAAACGTGATTTCTTTTTTGTGGGGGAGGCTCTGTTTAAAAAGAAAAACCTAAAATGTTAGAGTTATTCACCATAGCCCAACACAAATCTGGTACACATCATCAAGGATGCAGATAAGAGTATTATATTTGCATTAGATTTTAGGTACCCTGGTTTAAGAGATGTTATTGAGATAAGTCATTCAAAAATGTTTTAATTCTATTTATACCTTAGTTTTAAAATTCAGTTTTAATAATCTATCTGCTTTATTAATTTCACCATTTAGGCTGTCTGTTTTATACTTCACTCAGTGTGAAAAAGTTAAAGTCAGTTCCATTTAATAGCTCATACTCTACCACAACTCTTTTGGGTTTTCAGCCCTGCAGGGAAGTATTTGTATCCCAGGAACTATCCATTTCCCCTTATTTTTCCCTCCCATTAAAACATTTTTATTCATATTGAGAGTTAAGGAAAATTGAAAGGGTTATTTTAAAAATTATTGTGAACTGTACACCTGAAACACATTAATGTGCTCAAAACGTTTGTGAAATGTTCAGCATTCAAGACATCCCACATACTTGCAACTATTAGCTAAACTAATTTATTTTTTCTCAAAATAGTAAAGACAGTTATTTTAGAATTTAAACTAATCAAACACACACAAGTGCTAAGGATTCAGTCATCAAGATTTGAGAAAGAAAAATGTCTGATAATTCAAGCTCAGAAGAAAATTTATTCCCCCCTCCTCTCCAAGCTCCCAGAAAAGGTTTTCAAGACTGAACAATGTCTTTGATAAATCTTTATCTTGGCTCAGTGAATGATCTTTATGTCTGATGGGCCCAGTGGCTTATTACATACATTAAGGCTATAGTAGACTAATTATTAGAGTGTCTAAAAAAGTACTTGGAAATAATCTGAGTCTGCCGAGTGAGTAGAACTGGAGTTAGCAAGCTTTGATTTTGTTAACCCATTTGTAACCCTAGGTTAGGAATTGTTGAACCCTGGGTCTCAACCTGGGGCTCCAGCATCTACATTGCATTGTCCAAAACCATGTCCAACCACCCATATCTCAGACTTCCTAGCACTGCCCCAAAATGTAGCTGCTCTTGCCCTTTGTTCATGGTGCAGAATGGGAAAACTTGACTGTCCAGAGGATAAAGGAAGTCAGCCCATGGGATTGTGGGATACTTTTGACAAACTCTCAGAGGACACATCCAGGGTGACTGCATCTATGCTGCAAAGCAATGGAACTTGTACCCTGTATCCTGGTTTTACTCAGGCCCTTCACCCCATGAGATCCTGGGATCACACCCTGGGTTAGCATGATTTGTGTGTAAACGGAAGGGGGCTTAGGCTCTGGGTTTATATTGCAGTGTAGACATACCCCAACAGAAACAGAACCCAGCTGCTTATGTTGGGCTTTGTGCATTCAGAATTGCCAGCATCTGAACACTGGATAGCTCTGTAAAGAAGTTGTTGGTCTGAGCTACTAATAAACTGTTCCCTCACTCTTATCCAGAGCGCATTCTTCCCTACAGGGCTCTCTGGACATTTTAGTGAAATTTAGGTTTTCTCCTTTCTCTTTTTCTAATTGTTTAACTGTAGAATTGAAAGTAATGAACAATATTAAAGAAATTCTATTTAGTAACTAACTTATAGTTATATTAAAAATACTAAATTCTAAACCCACAAACCAGAAATCTAGTACATATAAGGAGATAAAGAAATTTCACATATAACACCTTCCCACAAATCTTGAAATACAACATGAAGTAAGGAACTGGGTATGTTTAGTTTGTAAGGGAGGAGAGTAAGGGGGGACATGATAGCAGTCTTCAATTACTTGAAGGGCTGCCATAAAAAAGATGGAGAAAAGTTGCGCTCTCTTGCCACAGAGGGCAGGACAAGAGGCAGTGGATTCAAACTACAACAAGCAGTTACTCTGGTGGAGGGGGGGGGGCTCCCACACCTCTCCTTAATTGGTGTCTCAAAGGCCACAATTTTTTCGATAGCAGATTTAGGTTGAATCTCAAGAAAAACTTCCTAACTGTAAGAACTGTAGGACAATGGAACAGACTGCCTAGGGAGGTTTTGTGGAAGCTTCTTCACTGGAGGTTTTCAAAAGGAGGCTGAAGAGCCATCTGTCTTGGATGGTTTAGCTGTAACAAATCCTGCATATTGGCATGGGGCTAGACTAGATGACCTTTACAGTCCCTTCTAACCCTATGATTCTATGATCAATACACAGCAAAACTGGCTTCCAGGTGAGTGTCTGAGGTATAGGTGAAATATAATGCAATTTATCTTGCATCATCACTGCAAAGTGGGTAAGTTACGAGTCTGAGTGAAAGTGGAGCCCAGGCTCTAATCCACACCTCCAGCTACCCCTAGGGCACATCTATACTAAACATTGTCTAATTGCAGCACTGATAGACATACCCACATTAGCTTTCATCTAGCTGGTGCAAGTGATAGTGAGGATATGGCAGCAAGGGCTAGCTGGCCTGTACTAGCCCTCCAGGTACATACTCTGGTTGATGATCAGGAGTCATGTGGCTTCAGTGCTATTATTAGCCATGGTCACTAGCTTAAAGCTACTGTAGGTATGCCTGCCTGCACTGCAAATTGCCTTAATTTGCAGTGTAAATATACCTCAAGTTTCTATGCAGTACTGAACTTGAGAGGTTGATGTATGTGTGAAGAAAAGGGGGACAGGGGTGACTGCAGTAAAGGCATATCCATAGTTGTGAACTTCAGCTCGTTCTGTCACTTGCAGAAGTGCCACATGTGCTGAGGCCCAACTACACCTGAGAGCTGTTGGAATGAAATCAGGTTAATCTTGTATATATACAGCTCAAAAGCAAATCTTTCTGATTTTGATCTTCCTAGAGTGGAGATTTTACTTCGCTAGGTAAAGGTAAAGGTGGACTTTCACTACTTTGCCAAAGTACAAAATGTGTATGTAGAAAGCAATACCAGAGCCTGCATAGGGAACACATTAACATTAGTACAGTGGTGGTAGCTGCTAAGAAATTATAGCAATGAATTTTTTTGGGGGGAAAGATAGGTGCTACAACATAGAGGAGTTTAAAAACTAGACAAACTCTGAACAACTTTCTCCTACAGATTACAACTTTTCAGGTCAATTCTGTTTTGGTGGATCCAGAAGAGTTAGAAATATCCAGCTGCTTCCTTTTTAAATCCTAATAAACTGTACATAATGGGTTTTTGGCCATATTAGTGAGCCTCACTGTACCCATATATCTTAGATATCACCCCTCATGAAGCTGTGCTAGAATTGTACTTGTTAGTATTTCCACAGCATAATCACAGTGCTGCAAAGACATTAAAAATAGAACTTAACTCTTGCATAGCACCATTTACAAAATGCATAATATTCCACATAGTTTAAAAGCTATTTACTAATGTTAAAAATAATTTTCCAAGGTGCATCAAGAAAACCTCTTGTTCAGTATTTCCATTCACTGAATGGGGTTGGTATAACCCCCAGCTGCCAGTAGGCCTGCCAGCTTGATACAGCCTTATCCCCTAGTAAAAGGCTGGGTATCATTAAGGCAGACAGGCTGAGAACACATAGGTGCCATTGCAAACCATAGGATGAGGGATTTCCAAAATTGTCCTAAGGTGAATTCTATTTTAGTTTATCTTACAATAGTGAATATCCATCTATTTCATATACCATTTACCAGCACAGACCAACCAAAACAGGATTGCAAACTGAGTTTGAAAAGCTCAAAAAAATAAATTAAAAAAGTGTTTTACTCTGCTTAATAGGATAGTCCAGTCAGTGGTATTTTAAAGGAAAAACACTTTCCTTATTTTCTATTGTAATGTTATGATAAAAAGCCTATTAGGTCCTTTTAATATGTAAGAACAATCCCACTGCTACAGGACAGCATTCTGTAGATTGGACATATGGATCCATCATTAACTTTGAAGACTATGAGTGATGTTTAACTTTCAAAACTTAAAATACTTCTGGGTCTTTCATCAATAATCCATTGAAAATATAAAATAAGTGATCAGCACAGATGATCTCATCATCTGGTCATCAGTGTCTGATTTGTATCATCCTAAATCCCTAGATATGGCAATTGTCTTAGTCTGAGCAGCATCACGACAGTACTCCATAATTAGTCATTAGGATTGTTTGTGCAAAATATTAAAATCCTCAGACATGGCAAAATGCCATGTTTTCTTACTTTGCTCTGACACCACAAACAAACAAACTAAATCTATTCTGCAAGGAGAATAGCCAGTGCATTGAAGTTGGCTTAATAATTCTAAGTGCCTGTAAAAACTATTTCAGAACACTTCAACTATTTATAAATAGATTCAGCTAAAAACTTACTGTATGTTCAGAAAAAAGGTGAAGATAGTGCACACAAAAGAAAGAAGTCATTACAAGTTTGTATAGTTTTGTTTTATTATCAAATGCAAAAAAGACATTTAGTAATGGTGTCTGGAAAATATTGTTTACAACTCCAAAGAGAACAGGTTACCTAACAGTTCAAAATGCCTTGATATTTCAAAGGAGCTACATTTTTTATCTTCTTCTACCTCCCCACTTGCTTCATGACAGACACTGTTTTCCTGTTAGAAAGCTGTGCCTACCTCTTAATCACTTGCTGAATTTCCTTCCAGTGAAAAGGCATTGCAAGTGTTCCATAACTAGGCCTTACCCCACATTCTTTTCATTCTAATGCCTGTAGTATTCAGATACCCTGAAGTAGTTCCCAGGGATGAGGGACTGTTCAAGGAATTTCTCTTGGCATCCACTGAAGATATATATGGAACAGTTGACTAGAAGCCAATTATGTTTTTGCAAAAGAAGAGAACTGTAAGGTAAGGTCCTTTCTTTGATATAAAAAGCTACTGTGCTGGGAAGCCAATTAGAACATGGTTGGAGCAGTTTTAACTTCATAACATAGCTTAGTCCTATCTACACAGTGAATTGTGACTACCCTGTAAAATCCAAGGCTCTAGCATGATTCATAAGGACTTGAAACATATTTCAGACGCTTCTATGACAAGAGTCCCTCAAACTGCAGTTTGATAGTGTACATGAAACCTAAAAGTAACATCTATACTGACCTATGTCAGGCAGGACACAAAGAAATGTTTAGAGATGCCACTGGACTAGCAGTGGTGCTGAACCATCTCTAAAGAGTGACTTTTTTTCTGACTGAGGTTAACACTACAGTAGGAAGAAGTCTCACTGTTCAGACTGGTGGATCCAAGGTCATAGAACATTATCAACCTTTAAAACTAAAGTACATTTTTAGACTAAAAATTCTAAACCCATAAATACCCAAAGCTGTATTTTACAAAGAAACTTGTAAACAAGTGATAAAACATTGATGTTTTAGTTAGCAACACAAAACCACCAGTTTATTGTGCAGTCCACATCTGAATGAAAAATTCAATAGGCATTGAAAAGTTAGTTTACATAACAGAAAAACAGATGACAAAAATAGTGTAGGCAATTAATATATTTCCTATGTATTTACACATAATACTGTGATAAAATGAATGACTCAATCCACATTGTGTTACAAAAGAACAAAGCTGTTGAAGGTACCAGTACCTTTCATATTATCCCATTTATAGTACTGTTCTCTTATATCTAAAATGTTCCATGACATGACAAGTTTTCAGGATGAGAAAACACTGTACAAAATTTCAGCTGAGTAATTCCTCAGAAATCTGAGCACTGCAAAGCAGGTACTAATGAGTCAGGACCTGATTCAGACAGATACTTAGGCAGTGCCTAACTTTAAAGCATGCAGATGCTGACTTCTGTGGGACTTACTCACATACTTAGGCACATGCTTAAGTATCATGTTGAATTGGGAGCTTATATTTTAAAGGGCCCACTGAGAATGCAACAAACTGACAACAGTAGTGATAACTATTGAAGAGAAGGTATTGTATACCTTAGTGGATGATAAAACACTACCAATTACCCACCAGTCAGAACACAGAATGCAGCCTTCTAGGTTATGTATAAAGTGTAAGATTTTTATTACATGATGAACTGAGCTTTACATGGCAATATTTCAGATAAACAGAAGAATTTTGTAATAATTTGCATACCTGATAAAACTTTTTAGCCAGATGAGTTGTAATGGTAACAGGTTACTATTGCCAAGACCAAGATTCCCTCCCCTCCATCCCAAATTCTCAAGTAATATATCCTAAGAATTGTAAGTCGCTTATAATTACTCTATTTGCTTTAATCATTTAAGGACTGAAAAATATTGTATAACAAAATCTGGTAATTATCTTAAATTGGCAGGATAAGTCTATGCATCTGAAATACTGGCAAAACTAGACAAATAAAAATCAGTCTAAACAAGCATTAAAAACTTCAGAGTTAATCAACAAGCCAAGATAAAATTCTGACCTGCTCTCCAAAAATAAAATCTACAATATGGGAATGATTTGACTGAATTTGTTAATCCAGTTAAAGCAGTTCAAGTATTTAAACTGAGACAACATTAATGAAGAGAAAGAAGAAAGCAGTTTAGCCTCCTGCAGTTTTACATCACTGGAATTTAACTTACTACTCCAAGAGAGAAGCCTTATGTTTTGCAAGTGAGTGCCATTGTACTTTACATTATTCTGGGACCAGTAAGGACAAAAGTAGATGAAAGGGGAAAATCAGAATGAAGAGAAAATTATTCAGAGCAAACCATTAAGTTACATGCAAGTCTTCAGAGTCATGTAGAATGCTACAAACTACATTGACCAATCAAAAGTTATTTGACCTTTTAGAAACCCATATTTGAAGGTTGCATTTTAAGCTATCCAATTTTGCCTTTCTGCCACATATATGAAGCAGAGCAAAAAGTTAACTCATCTTCTGTGTTTTGAGTTCCCTCCTCTTGCTTTCAAAGAATAAAACACTGATGATTTGGGCTACAAAGCTATATGCAGAGTATTTCTGAACACAGTTCCTTGAATTTCAGACAGTAAAATGTGCTCCTTTAAAGAAATAAGGAAGTTCTTATCCCTTACAAGTCTCCCCTTTTTTTACATTGCTGAGGATCTGATAAAAAACAAACATATGACCGTCAGAAGTACTGATCCTGAGATGAATTATGGGAAATTTAGATCCAATGTGCTCTTTATTCAAACTTTTGTTTAAGCTTCTTCTGGAAGACAGCTGGCAGAATAGAGAGAATAGCTAGAATCATGAGAACAAATACAGAGTTCCAGGAAACTGCTTCCCCTGCTGTTGTAAGCTGGTACAGTGTTGTTCCCGCCTTAATTGCTACAAAAGATGGTGGTGCAACACCTATGTGTACAGAGATAAAACAAAGAATCAGTGAAAGAGAACTAAAACAATAAAAGCACACGTTACTTTTCAGTTTTTTTTTTTTTTAAGGCAAGCAAATGCTCTCCACCTTAGAACTTTGTTGGAAACAGTTTAAGGCAACAAAGTCCAGAACTTAATAAAAATACAGTTCATAACAAGTACAGTATCATATAGAAAAACATACATACACACACCATTTTTCTATAGCACCTAGACCTTTATAATATAATCTAAAGAGGCAGTGTACATTCTTTTTCTGCGATGTATATTGTACTGACTTTTTAGTTTGCATACACAAAGACTAAGTAGCACATGGGGATTAGACCAAAAACAACAGTTTAACATGTCTAATTTTGTTTCTAATGACACATTTCTGCATGGATTTTTCTTAGTAATCCATTAGGAAATCAAATACTACATACTATTTCCAAACAAAGACACTTAACTACCCATTCATAATAAAAAAAGACAAGAACGTATGCTGGTACACAAGGAAGTCAGAGAGCAACTTTTGAAGGGTCACCATTTATAAAGAGGGAAATATAAGATGTAGTTCCATTGAAGCACAGGGAAAAAACTGAGCAAGTTTACCCAAACTGAGATTTCAGTTTGGATAGCTAATAATTTATGCATGTGGTTAACTTTATTACCATGAGTAGTCCTTTTCTTTACAAGAGTGGGACCTTCCTAAATTACCACAACAGACTATATCCTAAAAGCCCAAACTAAGAACACCTTACAGTTCCCATTCATACTATTTCTATTCATTCTAAATTTTAAAAGACAATGCCCTTCAAAAAAGCATATTACTTAGTAAGCTTTATTACAAACAGATTCTTATATTTAAGTCTCAACACCATAGTACAGTCTTGTTAAATTACATGCTGTTTTTCCCTACATAGTTAGTGGCTAATAATAAAATAAAATAAGTGCTAAGTAGATAATCTTTGTTTGTATTTTTAATTATGCAGCTCAATAAAACTAGAAGGTTGGAAAAATATAATTTTCTTGTGACAAGGAAAAGATGGAGTTTCCGAAACCTCTCGAAGCACCTAATCTAATGGGCATACCAATGAATAGATGTATTTTGACATCATAGGGTTGGTTTTTTTAAGGGGAAAATAATTCACTTGTTCACCAAGATAGAGACAATTCCCATCCTGTAAGATTAATTTAGTTACCACTTTCTTTCAGGTTCCGTCAAGACATAATAAATAATAATACCACCTAGCTCTTTTATAGATCTCAAAGCATGTCAGTATTATCATCTGCATTTTACAGATGGGGAAATGGTGCACTTACTTTCCCAAGATCACCCAGCACTCCAATGGCAGGGCTAGGAATTGAACCAAGGTCTCCTGAGTGCTAATCCAGTGTCTCATCCTTTAGACTATACGGCTTTCAATACAGTTAATAGTATATGAATAACTCATAGCCCATGTGAAAAATATTTGTAACAAAATGCAAACTGAAGCCTATTCAAAACATTTTTTGAATATCATTAGGAAGTTAATCCGTTCAAGAAAAATGACAATGGTAAACAAATGGGAGAAAAACAAGCCCTTCATGTGAAAACAGAGATTCTGAGGCAAAACAATTTTGCATAAAGAACATGAAGTAAATCTGAGTTTCCCTTTTCAATAAAAAAAACCAGTCATTCTACTTCAAAGGGAAAAAAAAGCACAAAATGGAACAAAGGACACTGCTGAAGCACACAGATTTGGCATGTAATTTTGGACAAGTAATTGAACTTCGGTCTCATTTTCCCCAACTGTAAAATGGGAACACTACTGGAGTAAGAAGTGAGGCCCTCACATATTATGATGATCAGCTCCATAGAGAAACAAATAAAAGAAATAGTGTAGTCATGTAATCATTCAGTTGACCAGTAGATGCGGATATACACTAAATGATTCTCTGAAGGGGCGGGAGGGGGGAACAATGGGGTCCTTAAAACACTTTAATTTATTAACCAAAATTCTTACCTAGAAAAGTACCAATGAAAAATACTTTCAGTGGTACATTTATTACAGGAGATGTAATATTGATAAACCAATTAGGAAGAAAAGGCGTTATTCTCAAAAATATTATGTAGTTAATGAGGTGTTCTCTGTGTCGTTCAACCTGCCACAGAATTAGAAAAAATTCAGTAAAATCCCTGTCTTGGAAAAACACATGTATTATTTAATAAGGCTGCTCTTATTGAGATACAGTGCATCTGCAGTCTAGTTATTAGCTAACAAGTTTATATAGATTTCTTTAGTGGAAACAAACGCAAAAAAATAGACAATATATTTAAACAAGTTCTGGATTGGAGCTTGTGAGGAGGGTCAGGAAAAACATTTGTTAAATATAGTGCTGAAGTTAGCTTAGAAATTCTGACTTTTGGGATGGGAGTTAGACATTATATTATATCTACTCAGTGAACTAAATCAACTCACTCTTTAAACAAGGAAAAGTAGTTCACCAAAGAGCAACTATTGGTCTTTGTTTGTGCAGCTACATCAGATAGAACAGCAAAATGTATAAACTTAGATCCAGATGCCCTTTTACACCACATATTTGAAAACCTTATCCAGACTTGAGGTTTTACTATGTTTATACACCAAGGTTAGACATAGTAGATGTGTCTACATAAGGAATGAGGTGCATTTGAACATGAGTTAGCAAGGGAAGCCTATGGCTTACTCTGACTAGCTAACATTAAAACTAATAACTACGAATTGTCTTGTCAACACCATGTTAAAAATACACTTTTTATCCTGGTGAAAAACAAGAGGAGTGAAGCCTTAAACTATAACACTGTTTGATCTTACCTGTGGGCCTAGAACCAAGATATGTTATCTGATTTAGAAACTGCTTCTCAACATGCTTATAACATGGTTTTGAGCTGTTCATGTATGTAGCTTTACTAGCGCAGATAGATTCTAGATAGCAAGTGCTTAATGTTTTCACTTAATTGGAATATATCCCAGGCTTTAGCACAATTCTTAAAACTGTCTCGGTTTCATCTACACTGCAAAACCAGTTGTGTTGGAAGAGTAATGGGACAACTACATTGTAATCAAATCCCACTCCCATAGTTGAATAGTCATGTAAGTGGGACTAGAGACCCTATATACACAAATAGTGATAACAGCTTAATGTGATTCCTGCCAAAACAGATCAGGTACAGTTTGCCTGGCTACGGAGAAACAGGTTTAAAAAAAAAAAATGTTAAATGAACTATACATCCAAAATAAAGGTTTGTAAAATAGTTATTCCTGATCCACAATTGCCAGAAAAGTTGGCTTTAAAGTTTGTTTAAGAATAGAACATTGGGCACAGAAAGTAAAGAGTATGGTTTTGTTCATCAAGAAAATCTCTTCCAGTGAAATTCATCCAAGAGGGTGTTTACTGTTGTAACATTAAAAAAGTCATGTTTTTAAAAATCTGAAATAAGAGGGTTACTGCAGTTAGATTAATTATGAACTCAAATTTAAGAGAACAGTTTAATTTTTAAATATTAAGCTGATTCCTTATATGAAAGAGTTTAAATATCATGTTAGAAAGACTACATATTTAATTGTATTTGCTGAACCTCCTTCCTTAATGCTAAATTTGCTTTCAACCTCATTCCATAAATGTGCTTTGGGCCAGATTCTGCCATGCTTATTCATACCAAGTACAGTAGTACTGTACACTCAAGGAGTTGTACCATTTGCTTTAAGGAGAATACACTTGGAGTGAGGTACTAGGTGTGAATAATGATAGCAGAATCAGCCATTTCTTATTAGGTTTATTGTGAACATCAAAACCTTTATGATTCCATCTTCTTCAATTCACATTTTATATAATCAGCATGAATGTTTACCAAAAGCAACTTTACCTGTTCTGACCATTTCACTGCTTTCTCTGTTAAATATCTGTACACAACTGGCCGTCCAACTAAATATGAAAGCATATAACAGAAAGAGGCTCCAAGTCCAGAACACTGCCAGTGGGAAAAAAAAAAGTGAGAAGAAATTCTTTGCAATTTGTACAACAATCTCTAATCCCTGCTGATTTCATTAGCAGTAAAGGGCCTGGCTCCATACAGCTATCCATTTCAGCTGCTTTACAGGGTTCTCCTTTAATTGTCTGTGTTAGCCACTCCTACATATACACATACAACACCTATCATTATAATATTTTCTATAACGGCTTTGCTTAGGCCACTGTGATCCATGGACGAGCTCCATTCAGGTGGTCCACAGATAGTTCCCTCTAAGGTGCGCACCTGGGCAGCTGCACATGAGAGAATGAAGGGCCACCCACCTAATTAGTGGAGTCGCACAAGCTCACAGCTCCACTAATTAGCTGCCTGGACCCTGGAGAAGACGCACATGTAAGGTGAGGTGGTGGCCTTGGGGGGAATATGGGGTAGTTGGGGGGGTGGGGCAGTGGGGTGAGGGAGAGGGAATTTGGGACGTGCAGAGCTGTGGTGGCCAGAGAAAGAGGCGACTTTCCCCAGCTCCAGTGCTATGGCTGTTGGGGAGAGACAGCCCTCCTTCCCCGCCTTAGCTCCATGGTGGGGGAGAGACAACCTCCTCCTTCCCAGCCCAGCTGGGGGATGCCGCAGCAGGAGAGAGACAGCTCTCCCCAAACTACTGCTAAAAAAACTTAATGGAAATCACTTGTCCAGACAAGTGATTTCCATTACATTTGGGGAGAGGTATGGAAACCATTAAGGCCAGATCTTTGTTACTGGTATAGTTCTGGCTCTTCAGAGTACTTCCATTGACTCTTAAGTAGCAAGCAGCACTAGGTTTAGTGGGGGTGCTGCTAGGTGTTTTGTAGGATAAAGACCTTATTTGCAAGCTCTTTGAAGCAGGGATCTGTCTGCAAACTCCAAGCCATGTGTTAATGTGCTCCAGGGCTTGTAAAAACTCCATGAGTCCACTGTGAGTTTCTGAGTTGGTGACATACACAATGTGAAACCAGGAGATCTCTGCCTGTTTCTACAAGGCTCTGGTGCATTTGCACAGCGTGGGTCTTAAACACTCATTTAAAATACCCATGACCAACCACTTGATGTTTTACTTCCCTTCATATTTTCAGTGTCACTTGTTTGTTTATTGTTTTGCTGTTTGTGTTACTTTATTACTGATTTTTACTGTTCTATGTGTGAAGTATTAATCAAATTAAGAGTTGACATCTCAGAGAAATTTCATAAACCTGGGTGAATGCCTTTTACTCTCCTTTCCAGTATCAGAAAATATTGTATTAATATTTGCAACAAGCATGACTATTTCTAGTTGACTCATAGATTTGTTTAGCATCTTAACGCAGAGCTATGTGTGCAGATAATATGCAAGCAAGAGGGATAGTTAATTATTATTACTTTTTTTTTAATATAGTGCTTTTATCCAAAGCGCTTGAACACAGTTAGCTAACGGTACAAACAACATTTGGAAAGATCATTAAGTGGTCCGCCAAGATCCTCAGCAATTTTCAAGTGGTCCACGAAAAAAAGTTTGAGAACCACTGATTTAGGCAAAAAGATGCATTGGTTTACATCCATCTTGACATTCATTATAGATGTAACAAGATTACTTTCTATTCCAAAAATGCTAAATGAGAACAGTTACCACCAATCAATTTAAGAAGGCTTTGAATAGTAACAATAAAAAAGCCTTTTAAATGTATTCTAAATAGATTCAGATTCCTCAATTGTGAAAACCCATCACCTCAACTAGATCTAGCTCTAGACACCTCAAGTCTAGATCTACTTGACTAACTCTATCCTAAGCCCTTGAGGACCATCATCTTTTTGGCAGAAGAGGTCAGGACAAGACACGACACCCTTTGAAGCCTGTCAAGACCATTCAAGAACCTCTGTTTAAGCCACAAAACTCAGTGGTTTAAAAAACCGTTTCAGCTAACACTGTTGTGTTACCAATAGGAACTGGAAAAAAAAATTGGGGGGGGGGGGGAGTATTTTTTGTAAGCATAGTGGTTTTGTTGTGTACACAGTATCCCTCTGATTTTGTAATGTAATGTAATAAATACACAGACCTAAATAATTAGCGGTCTGAATTTTATGATGTATTTTATAGGCAGTTTTCAGCATGAGTCAACAACTGGGGCCAGATTTTCGTAACTGCTCAGTACCCTGGCCCAAACAGCTAACACCAATGAAGTCTGGCTGAGCACTTTAGAAGCGAGGCTCTATCAGCTCAACAATGCTGACTGAAGTCTGCGATAACACTCCAATTGCCTCATTGGACTTAATCAGGGCTTGTCTACACTACACCGCTTTTAGTGACACAGCTGTGTCGCTACTGGCATGCCACTACAGCCGTGCGGCTAAGTCGGGCAGCGTAGGCGCTGTTTGTCAGCTCTCCTGCAGACAAAAAGCTTCCACCCCAACAAGCGGTGTTTGCGTTGTCAGCAGGAGAGTGCTCCTGCCAACAATGTTCACACTGGCACTTGTTGCAGCAAAACTTTTGTCTTTTTTGTTGTTGTTGTTGTTGGGGGGGGGGGGGATTTAACACCTCAAAGACAAAAAAGTTGTGTCATTTAATTGCCAATGTAGACATAGCCTCGGTGCTAAAACCGCCTCACCAACACCTCAGGGGGTTAAGCTACAGGGATTAAGAGTGATACAGAGGCAGCATGCTCCTAAACCCTGCTTGACCACAACCGCAGTCATCCCAAATGCCAATTGGGGGAAGGGGAGGGAGGAATACATACTTACCAGACAGACAAGAAATAAGGCTAATGGGAACGGATAAAGAAACCCTGAGAGGATACTGAGAAATATAGAGCCAGGTATAGCAAATGTTTGCAAGCTGAGTGCTTCTCAGTTAAGGATAGAACATCGCATTACTTAGCACTTTTACATTCTTCATTTTAAAAGTGATCATGGTATTTACCAACTTACAAGCTGAACACTAGAAATATGTATATCTTCAAAATACTACTGTTGGCATAAGCAGTTTACAAGAGATATTTGGGGAGCACTGCATTAATGTATGAGTTTTTAAGGCCTTGCCCACATAAACTTGCACCAATTTAACAACCTTTTTTGCAAAGACACTTTTAGTTAAGTCAGTGCAAACTGTTTTCTTCTTTCAGATTTAGGTTTAATGTTCATTCGAGAGATGGGACAACTGAAACCGCTTTGATAAGGTACAGTACAAATAAGTACTATATAACCAGTAACAAAATCTCATTCTTCACCCGCAGCATACACATACCATTTCAGCCTCACACCACTTTTCTTAGATTTTAAGAGCAGAAGGGACCACTAGGATAATCTAGTCTGACCTTTCACATAACACTGGCCATAGACTTTTCACCTAGTCATTCCTGCCCAAACCTTTAACTTCTGTTTCAGCTGCAGAGTGTTTTTTTTTCCCCCCAGAAGTTACCAAAACATCCTAAACATTGTGAAGGTTTTATGGGTGTTGGTACTAGGATAAGACAAACCCATATTTGTTTGGGACATACACCAGAATTTGAAACCAAGTCTTCAAAAGTTAAAATCTAATACAATAATCCATTGTATGGGCTTAATTTTAAAGAGTGACAAGTTTGCACACAAACCAAGGGTAATATCAGACAGCCATGAGATCGCCTTCCTACCCTAAATTTCTTCCCTTTTAAAAACCTCTTCATCCTAGAGGTCCATGTTAAGGACTACATACTTCTCACTACATAAACTAGATAAGGGATGTCAAACGTATAGTCCAGATTAAATTAAAGTATTTATTTATGTGGTCATCAAGACATGTTCAACTTGTGCAGAAGCTCACTCAGCTTCCCCCCCCTTTCTAAAAAGGTGTATTTTTAGTCCTCTCAGTTGTTAAGGAAGCCATCCAAATGCAAACTTAGAGTAACTGATGCCATGTAGGCATGAATCTGAAAGCAACAGTGAGTCAGAGTGGTGGACTCCCTTGTCCAGTATTAATTTGCTTGAAGTGTCAATTCAAACTCAGTTCCATAGGAACTGGGAGTTGCTGCCTGGAAGTAGAGGAAAAAAAGTTCTTGGGGGGTCTTGCCACCAATTCAGCTCTGTGTTGATATGAGGTGGGACTACAACCTTGTTCATCTGATGTCTTATCGAGCAGCAGGCTAACTGGAGCCAAAGTTGAAGGGGCCACAAGTGGAAGTCTGGAAAGCGCTGTCACAAGCACTTGCCAATGTGGTATAAAATTCCAAGGCAAGTCTGTACCATCATAGTCAGGTTTGATTTTATTCTGTTTAAAAATTACTACAATGATAGGACTCTGTCCTCTGGAAGGAAAGCCCTCACTGACCGGAACTGATGATGAACCTATGAACACTAATATTAGTGATAGGGGAAGGACGATTCTTCTTAGTTCACACGGAAGCGCACTTAGGCAAAACAGGTAGAAGGCACATTTCAGGCTTGTTGACATCTATTGTTGGGGTCAGGTAGACATTGATACTTCTTCAGTTTGCAGCCACAACTAAGCATTTTGTGAAGGCTCACTGCTTGTACTAGTAATGACTGGGCCCCACTATGAATTTCAGGTACTTCCTGTGGGCCGGGTGGATGGCAATGTGGAAGTAGGAGTACTACAAGTCGAGAGTTACAAGCCTCTATTGAGTCTGAAGAGATGGAATGATGGAGGCAAGTGTTACCATACTGAATCTGTGTCATTTTCATTCAATCTCCTCAGCTCTAGGATAGGACAAAGAATAAGGAAATACCAGATTCCCCCTTTCTTCAGAATAAAGAAATACCAGAACATCTCCCCGTATTCCTGCAGTACCTCTTTTATGACTTCTAGACAAAGCAACGAGGCTACTCCTGTTTGGAGTAGGTTCTCATAAGAAAGGTTTCTGAAAAGACAGGGAAGGAGGACTACATAGGGGGAAAGGCAAGGAAATGGTTAGAGTAGCCAGGGCTGATGATGCCTAGCACCCACTGGTCAACTGTAATCACAACCCACACCTGGTGAGAAGAACAAGGTGGCTTCTGAAGGTCAGGGTAGGCTCTAACTTGGCTCCAGTGTGTCTCCTTGAATCTCAGGGCCTTTCACAGAGGTACTCCAATTATTAAGTACGGAGTAGAAGGGAGCTCTCTCTTTTGGGGACGATATATGTACGATTACAATAGGAGACTGGGGTGCATTCCGCGAGGGATCACAACAGGGATCTAAAATCCTTAAAGGAGGAGAGCACTTCAGCTGTTTGACTGCTGAAGAGCTCCATCCCTATGAAGGACAGGTCCTCTACGATGCATTACACTTCTTGGAAATGCCGAACACTGGAAACCAAAGGCCATCTCATGGTGATGGCAGTGTCCGATACAACCGTGGCTACTTGTAAGCAAATCTTTGAGACCATTTGACCCTCCTTCATGAGCTCTCAGAGTTCCTTCTTATTATTCTGTGCGAGCATTGCTCTCATGTCACAAAATTATATTTTGAACAAAACCTATTTTACTTTAGAACACAGAGCTTAGTAGCGATGCTGAGGAATCAGTCTAACACCAAAAAAGGTCCATTTTTTAAATGGTCTTTTCTGGGGTGCCCTTTGCAGACCTGGATTTTTCCTGTACTACTGATATCACAGTTACAGTGGGCATATAGATTTTCAAAGCTCTTTTGTGGCTCCTCTTTTTTGCTCCTTGAAGATGAGGGAGCAAGAGTGGTTGGGGTCTGCCGAAGGTGAAGATTATGCCCTTCTCGAGTTCAAGTGTGCCCTCACTGATAGGGAGGGCAATCCTGGCTGGGGCTGAGGAGTTCAGGATGTCAAAGATCTTAATGACCTTTTCCTGGGTCACTGAGATTTCAATGCACAGGGCCTCAGAGAGCCAGGTCTGCAGGTACTAGAATGCATTGAAGGTGTCAGGTGCAAGTGCTACTGCCCCATCTAGTGACAAGGGAGGTTGCTGGAGCTCTTTTGGTATTGCCTTTTCATAAAGGCCCATGTCTGGCTCAAGCAAGGGAGGTCTGGCTAATGACCCCCCTATGGAGCAAGATCTTCTCTTCCATAAGACATGGGAGGGAGATCTGCTCCAGCACACACATGGTTCCCTAGTATGATGATTGGGGGCAAAGTGCTTAAATCCCTGTTAAGGGAACTTGTAAAAAAATATAGTATCAATCATATTTTAAAGTGCCATCCTGATATTAACTGTGTGTGACTGATCAGAACAACAAGACAAACATATAGTATCAAACTCAGAGTAAATGAACAAAGTGTACAATTGCTTTCTAAGCATATTTCAAGGGTTGAGATAAACATCACAGCATGCACATTAGTTGACCAAAGTCTGTCACTAATCTAAGAACAACGACATTTAACTATTAGAGCAGCAGACGTCATGGTGTTTAGACAACTGATTGGTTTTTTTAAACACTTGTTACCTTACATCTATCTTTGTCATTTCAACTAATTTCCCTTTTGTACAGAATCCATTTAAAATGTTATTTGTGAACAACTGCTTTTTGGAATAGAATCAGCTGTAAAATAAATCATTACTGAATTAATGACATTCAATAACCCTGTTTTGAGTTACTAAAACCTCTCAAATTGAGTTAGAGAAGACCTCCTTCACCATCCTTTTTTAAAAATTGTAAGTGGAACAGCCATTGAAGGTTCACTTTTATCTAAGCATTTTTTTATTACCATTACTAATTAATATATTCTGAATCCTGCATCACTACCAACAAAAAGAAAACTGCTGCTTGGACTAACAATTAGACTGTACTTTCACTCCAAATATCTTGTACTTGTTAACTTCACATAAAGAGATCCAGCAATTCTTTGTGTAAAATAGGCATTACAGGAATTAAGGAGTGCCTTGAAATACTTCTAAGAAATGCCCCAGATACAAGTTTAAATTCTCATTCTTTTTATAGTAGCTGTAATAGATGCAGTGTTTGAGTATCTTAGGAATGTGGGGCTGTACTTAATTTTGATTTTCTTTAAGATATCCACAAGATCCATACAAATGATTTGAAACAATTGAACCGATATGTTCTATAAAGCCAGATAGTTTATAAGTTAAATATTAAGAACCATTTCCAAAAAGGACACCGTCAAGATTGGTAGATTTAAAACAACGTTCTAGCTGCATTTACTAGTGAAGATGTACACCGCACTTTCCTTCTGCCAGTCTGGTCCATTCTTACAGGCAGGCAGGCACTGGAATACACAAGAAAATGACTAAGTACTTTAGAGTTCAGTATTCTTGTGCATTTCAATACCTAGCCTAAAGACAACCCAATAGTTACATTTTTAATCTTCATCCTCGAATGATTAAGAGCCAGTAAGCTTGTTTACATCCCTCCTTCAAATTTTTCAGAGAAAAACATCATTAATTGCAACTAAACAACTTTCATATCAGCAGGAAAAGGATACAAAACATATGTAGCAAAATAAGCCACTAATACTTGGACGTAGAAGGTGTCTTTGTATTTGGAGAGGACTTTTCCTAAGGCCTTAGCATCATCCATCTCTCTGGGAATCTTTATACATTCTCTCTCTTCTCTGAAGGGGGGGAGGGGGGGAGGAAAAAGATTTCCAAGAATTAGGCTAAGTAATCAGTAAATACAATTTTAAAACTCATTTGCCCCAATATAAGATAATAAATCAAAGAGCCAGACTAATTGCTTTGCTCTCATTATAACTGCTGGTGATAGCTTTCCTAGGCAGAGAACACAAATCTATAGGATTCTGCAGCTGAAACCCTCAGATAATTTTAGGTGTTTTCAACATTATTTCTCCTTGTTCAGTTTATACAGATGAAGAAAAATTAACATTGATTGAGATTTTTTGAGAGGGATGGCGTGTTACCTCCTTCAGAAGAGGAAACATTTTTCAAGTATTTTGCCTTATGGGTGCGTACTTTCTTTTTTGCCTTTAAGTTGAAGTCTGCAGTATAATTTTTGTACTGTTATACCTTATTTCAGTTAGGCATGAGAATTTTATTTTTTTGCCACTATAGTTAAAAGCAATACAACCTCCTCACTTTGGACACAATTATACCAGTATATACGTGCCTTACACAGGTATAGCTTATTTCCCCCACCCATATGAGAACAAATAATACCAGTATAAATCACATTTATACCAGTATAACTGTATCCAAAGAGGGGAAGGTTGAACTAATTTAATTATAGCAGTATAGTTAAAGTGGTACAACTTTTGCTTTTAGACTAGCTGACTGGCAGTCTCCAGCACTTGCTTCTGGATATTTCCAACTTCAAAGTTTTATATTTTGACTTTCTGGGTTGTCTTATGAATTTCCTCTCCACTTCCCCCCCCCCAATTTTTTCAAATTTTTATCAGCTTATGAAAACGTTGAGGTATGTCAGTTTGGGGACCTCCTAAAACCTTTAGTTTTAGAGGATACTCCAAAGAAAAGCCAGCAAATTAATCCTTAATATACTTACTCACTAAGCTGTGGAAAATTTTTATATACTAGAAACATAATCGAAGCAGCAGACAGAAAGATGGACACTAATATGAGGAGTGACATTCGTGCTGATCCACCTTCTGTATGGGCCCTTCCTAAAATTTAACAAAATTATAGTTAACATAAAAACAAATATGACAGAATTCAAAGTTATGCTTCCAAAAGTTTTTAAAAGTAAGTATTTTGTGGATAAAATCTTCCCACCAAAAAGCCATCTCTCTTATATTCCCTAGAAGCTGCAGGCAAAATCTTGCATTCCTTACTTGAGCAAAGCTCCCACTGACATAAACCCAAATAAGGACTACTGGAGCTGGCCCTCAATTAATACATTAAAGGAGAAAACCTGCTTTACACCCTTATTAACCACAGCAAAGTAACATGAGAACACGCAAGTACAGTACACTAAACTTTTTGCCAAAATTCCCCACCACTGGTTTAGCTACAGTAAACAAAATGCTGATGGCCATGCTGTCTAACTCTGCTCAGGGAAGATCTAGTGCTGCACTAACTCAGGCCACCCATGTCAACACTACAAGAAAAGGTATTTTTAACACATTAACTAATCAAAGTAAATCTTAGGAAATACATTTACAAATTATCTTCCCTTTTCTAGACTAGGATTTTAACACATACTTATTAACATATTGTAGCTAACATGTTAAAAACCACACCTTTTTTAATGAAGACAAGGCCTAAGGAAAAGGTACTTTTAAAGATAGCCTTAGTATACACAGGAAAGTTTTTTTTCAATATAACCTAAGATGTGACATTAAACTGATATAACGATACAAGTAAACCCCTCCCCTACCCAATGGAGATACTCTTTACTCCTGGGGGAGTTCTGTGCTACTGTGTGCATGTATATTTAATGAGTCCCAGAGATTTCTAATTTTTCACACACAAAAAAGCGTCTGCCAAAATGTTGCTGCAGTTCCACCTTTTGTCCACCAGAGGGTGCTGTGGCAATAGAACAAAGTTGCAGCTCCCCTCAGGGAGGGAGAGAACTGCCTTAGCAGCAGGGCTTGTCAGGCCAAGTCAGTAGACAGGAGTGGGGGGCGGGAAAGTCAGACAGGGGCTCATAAGGGCAGGAGAGACTGTCGCAGGGGCTGAATGGGAGTGGAGGCACAGGGCCACGGTGGGGAAGGAGGTGCAGAGACACATAGGGACAGGGGAGTGGCTGGGTGAGGGCACACGGACACGTGGGGACAGGGGCAGATGTGCCTGACTGAATGGGAGAGGCTAGGGATCAGCCAGGTGTGCATGGGGGAAGCTCCCTAACAATCCTTCCCTACCCCACAAAAAAACAACCTGTTCCATACTTTTCCCACCCATACCCAACAGCCCTCCAAGTTCACACCCAGGCTCCTTCCCAGCAATTACTTCCCTCTCCCTCAGCTCCGCTGTTACCCCGACTCCTCCAAGCCTTTGCTCTGCTTCAAAAAAAAGGCTGTGGGAAATACGGTTTTGTATTGTAGTTTAGATGAATTATTACTCAAAGTTCTGTATTAATATGCCTAGCAAGGAATCTATTTGTCAAAAAACATTTCTTGAATCTTTTTTGTTGTCTGTATTGTTACAGACATACTTGCTGACAGGTATTTTGAAATAAATTACCAAAAATAATTGAAACTGGTGTGATTATATTGTGTTATTTTGACAAATAAAATATGCAGAATTTTGCAGAATTAAAAAAATTCTGTGCACAATATTTTAAAGAAAAAAATTTGGTGCAGAATTCCACCGGGAGCAACTCTTATTGCAGTATGAGGGTTTGTCTACATAAAGACATTCAGGAAAGTGAAGATTAACTGGTGCAACCTTAATGCACATTAACCCCCCCCTCCCTCTATGGATGCTCTTTTTCACAAGTAACGTTGCTTTAGTCTGCTGTAGCTCAGTCCTTGAGTGTAACACAGCTATACCAGCAAAACCCTCCAACCACATATGCAGTAATACCAACCAGAAATGCTTTGGATGGTATAGCAGATACTGGGTTAGCAAGCAAAATGAGCTATACCAGCAAAGGCACTTTTTTAGCAGTATAACTGCATCTACACTAAGGCTTTTGCCAGCATAGCTATTCCATTAAAAATAAAAAAGCAAAAATTTTACATGTATACCTGGCCTTAATTTCTCTGCTGGAGCTCCACAACACAAAAATCCCAAGATGCTGTTTTCATTTGCAGCTCCTGGTGGCATGATTATGATGCCACTATGCAACATGCACAGCAATCTATTGCATTACCATTTCAATGTTGTAAGCCAGAAAAAGGATGATGAAACATAATAAAAACAAAACAAGTGCTCTGACTAGTTTCAAGTTTACTTACTTTGCCAATTTTGCCTTGAAGTCAGTAAAAATGTTTACCATAGTCCCTTGATTTTACTGCCTCTGTTTTGTCTGAAGTGCTAGAGCCATGCAGCTACAAACTTAATTGCGTTTTTTTTACTACCACCTTCTCCAGGATGATAATCCAATATGAGGAAGGGAAATCTACTGGATGGAACTAATAGTAGTAAAATTAAGCATGTGTGGGACATTAGTATGTTCTCCATTTCTCATCCATTCCACCCAAATTTGTTCTAACAGTTTGCAAGATATACGGTAAAGAATTTATTATAAGTGACTAAAGATTTTAAATTGCACTGTGAAACCATGCCAATTTCCAAACCATGCTAATATAGTTCAATGTTTTTAACACAACCCAAAGTAGATAATCACAATACTTGCCATACCTAGTCAGACCAGATATATACAGCTGCCTTACCCAAATGCACCTAACTGATTGGGATTTTCTAAGTACGTTGTTGCCCTTTCCAACTCTATCAATTTACAACCAGATATTAAATTATTCTACTATTTTACATATCCAGTAAGTACACACAAATTAAAACCCCAATCTCGCAAGCCACTCTGTGCAAGTAAGGCTATGTGTGAGCACAGGGTTGCACATGACAGGTTACAGAAGTGAAAACTAAGGATGTATTTTCATTTTGAATACCCTATTATCAGGTTCGGTCACCAAATGCCTATGAACAGCCTTATGTACAACTGTGTGTAGTTTAGTACTGTACTTTATTAACATTGTTTCCCTGAAAATGCCCAGCCCTGACAAACTTACAAGTGACAACTCACAATTCATAGGTGCTGCAGACCCTTCTGTATGAGCCATTCACCCAAGAATGGTTCAGTACAGTGCCCTTCACTAGCACATAACAGGGAGGGCTCAGATGACCAAAGTGAGATGTCTACTTTAAGACACTCAGATCCTGACCAATGGGGAAGTGACACAACTGGAAGGGAAACACTGGGGTGCAAAGAGGGAGCCACCATTGGGTAACTGGCAGGGAGAGGCTTGCTCCCTTGCTTACCCTTCTGGAAGAAGGGCAGAGATGCCCAACAGCACAGAATGAGCCACAGCATCACAGCCCTGCAGGGCTTAGCATGTCCTCAGAGCTGTTTGCTTAATGGCAACAACACTGCCCGCCACCTCCCCAAATCAATGCCACCTCAGTGCCTGCATGTCCCTGAACAGTGACCCTACACAGTGCCCCTCTCCCTGTCCCCATCTCCTCACATTGCTCCAACCTCACCAAACCAACCCCACCCCACTTCAGTGCCCCTTTCCCCAACACTGACCCCACAGAGTCCCTTCCACTGCCCCAAAGCGACTGACCCTACAGTGTCCCCTGCCCCCCACACTACTCCACATCAACTCCCCTCAGTACCCCATCCCTGAACACTGACCCCACAGACTCCCCTCTCCCTATTGCCTCCAACCTACCTTCTTTTGCAGTGCCCTTCCCTTTGCCCCAAACCAACCCCATATCAGTGCTCCCAATCCACACATCGACCAGACAGTGCCCCTCCCTTGACCTTCCCCCCACTCTGCCCCTACAGAGCCCTTCTCCCTACACCCATTGCCCCCTCCCCAGATACTGACCCCACAGAGCCCTTCTCCTTGCCCCCCATTGCCCCAAACCACCCCCCAGTGCCCCCTCCCCAGACACTGACCCCCCAGAGCCCTTCTCCCTGCCCCCACCATTGCCCCCTCCCCGGACACTGACCCCCCAGAGCCCTTCTCCCTAACCCCCATTGCCCCCTCCCCGGACACTGACCCCCCAGAGCCCTTCTCCCTGACCCCCATTGCCCCAAACCGCCCCCTCCCCGGCCACTGACCCCCCAGAGCCCTTCTCCCTGCCCCCACCATTGCCCCCTCCCCGGACACTGACCCCCCAGAGCCCTTCTCCCTGCCCCCCACCATTGCCCCCTCCCCGGACACTGACCCCCCAGAGCCCTTCTCCCTGCCCCCACCATTGCCCCCTCCCCGGACACTGACCCCCCAGAGCCCTTCTCCCTAACCCCCATTGCCCCCTCCCCGGACACGACCCCCAGAGCCCTTCCCCCCGACCCCCATGCCCAAACGCCCCCTCCCCGGCCACTGACCCCCCAGAGCCCTTCTCCCTGCCCCCCCATTGCCCCCTCCCCGGACACTGACCCCCCAGAGCCCTTCTCCCTGCCCCCCCATTGCCCCCTCCCCGGACACTGACCCCCCAGAGCCCTTCTCCCTGCCCCCCATTGCCCCAAACCGCCCCCTCCCCGGCCACTGACCCCATCCTGCCCCCAGCAGCGGCCCCGCTGCTCACACCGCCCCCCGGCAGGCATCAGGGCGGCACCTTCAATGCGCTGCCGCTGGGGCCGGGCGCTCGCCAGCTCGCCGGGGCCCCGCTCCGCCGCTCTCCGCTGCGCCATGGCCCCGCGCTGCCAGGAGCCGGACACCCGGCAACGAGACACAGGCCCAGCCAGGTGAGCCCAGGCCCGCCCGGCACCAAGAGCCGCGAGAGGAGGCGGGACCCGTCGCTCCTGTCACCCCACCCAGGCCCCACACGGCGCATGTCCGCCCGCACCGCCTCGGACCTGCAGGCAGAGGGCTCCGCGTTTAACTGGTAAATACGGTAACGGCCGGTAGGTTTTGCGTTTTTAACCTGTTAATTACGACAAACCCTGAACTGTGGTAAAGCTAAATCAAGGTTGTGTGTTCAACCATGTAAATACGGTAATCCCTAGGCGGGAATATATGCTGTAAAAGTGAGGGTGAGTTGCATGTTTCGGTTTATGCTCACGCCCAGTCACGGGTGCGTTTAGTCCATTAAATACGGCAGCGCACATCCAAGATTTCACTGTTTCCCGCTTCCCAACATGAAATCAGTAAAGCCTAGATCAGTGCGTGTTAAATGCTTAACCCAATAAATAATCTAAAACGGAGGGTAACGTGAGCCAGGTCTTCCTGATTAACCCATTAAACATGGTTTAAACCTCAAGGTTGGACTTCAATAAATACGGTAACGTCCAACTAGAATAGCGTGTTTTCCTGAGTAAATATGACAGGTTTCAGCGTGGCAGCCCTGTGAGTCTGTATCCGCACAAGGAACGAGGAGCCCTTGTGGCACCTTAGGGACTAACACATTTATGAGAGCATCCGATGAAGTGGGCTGTAGCCCACGAAAGCTTATGCTCCGATAAATTTGTTAGTCTCTAAGGTCCCACAAGTCCTCCTTTTCTTTTTGAGTAAATATGGTGGCCTGTTTAGCCTATTGACTATAACAGGAAGGCAGGGCTGTGTGTCTAGCGCAATAAATAGGATCATGCTGTTAAATATGGCAATGCTCATCTGAGGCTGAATGTTTAACCGGTATACTTGGTAACACACTCAATCAGAGCGCATTGTGTTTAAAACACAGTAAATACCGTAATGCGGAGCTGGAGTCAGTAAATATGGTAACACGGGGCCTCCTTTAACAGTGCCGGTAGTTAACCACTGGAACAATTTACCAAAGCTGGTGGTGGATTCTCCCTCACTGGCAGTTTTTAAATCAAGATTTCTAAAAGTTGTGCTCTAGGTCAGTCAGGAATTACTTTGAATATATGCTCTGGCCTGAGTTATACAGCAGGTCAGAGTACTGTAGATGATCTCAATGGTCCCTTCCGGCCTCAGAATCTCTGGGATAGTTGGTGGAGTGCTAAGTGCACCATGGCTGGAGGGACAGCACTTTAAGCCCCTAGCAGCTGGTGGGTTCCAAAAACCACTTATATGTGTGGCTCGAACAACAGGATAATTAATTAGGCAGAAAAAAAATGCAGATATCTTAAATTTGTTGATTAAACAGTTACAACAAAGTAGGTCCTAGCATAGTCCCTAGGACAGGGGTGGGCAAACTTTTTGGCCTGAGGGCCACATTGGGGTTCCGAAATTGTATGGAGGGCCAGGTAGGCAAGGCTGTGCCTCCCCAAACAACCTGGCCCCTGCCCCCTGACTGCCCCCCTCAGAACTCCCAACCCATCCAACACCCCACCTGCTCCGTGTCCCCTGACTGCCCCCCAGGACCGACTTCCCCTTATCCAACCCCCCACCCGCACCCTTACTATGCCGCTCAGAGAACCAGGACTGGCAGCCACGCCGCCTGGCCAGAGCCAGCCACACTGCTGCACAGTCTAGAGCACCAGGGCAGGCCAGCGGCTCTTGCAACCACGCTACCCGGTAGGAGTTTGTAGCCCCGCAACCCAGAGCGCTGGCAGCATGGTGAGTTGAGGCTGCGGGGAAGGGAGGACAGCAGCGGAGGTGCCGGGGGCTAGCCTCCCTGGCCGGGAGCTCAAGGGCTGGGCAGGAGGGTCCCGTGGGCTGGAGGTGGCCCATGGGCCACAGTTTGCCCACCTCTGCCCTAGGGGGAATCCAAAAGAGGATGGCACTTCTCAGGCCTAGTACCTGGGATTTATGTCCATTCCTTTCTTGGAGGTCCTCCTCTGAAAAGGATCTATCGCAACATCCTGTTTAGTCCACCAAGGGATCTTTGTGCCAGAAAGCTGTCCTAGGACTTTAAACCAAAAGCTTAAATCTCACAATCTCAACCTGCTCATTTTGGGTAGGGAACAGTGCACGTTCCAAGTGTGCCACTAGCCACTTCACTAGGCTCACTGGAAGAGTAGGACTTCTTGCTCCCATAACTCTTGCAGATATAGATCACCATTTAAATACCTTTTAGCTTAGGGAAAGATGCCCTGAGTGGGGAGTCAGGAAACCATTACTTAAAATTTCACTCTATGCTCTGCTGTCTATTTTTCTATGTATTTCATAATCATTAATGAGTAAGGCTTCATAGCCTAACTTGGGAGGCAGCAAGTATCATTCCTTCATTTTACAAGTTGATTGAGAGGTTGCACAAAATGGCTTCTGACAGATTTGGGACTAGAACCCAGGTTTCTACTATGGTAAACCCAAATCTCTGTCACACCGCCTTTCAGGTTTGAACATCCCAAATCTATGGCCTTAGCTATTTGTTTGTACCTCTGATCATAATCCACATTCCAATCTCAGAGCCAGGAGCAGAACCCAGGAATGTGAAGCTCCAACATTCCACTGCTTTTGAGCAAATAGTTGTATAAATCACTGGTAAAGGGAATGTCACATCCTCATGCAGGGCTGACAAATAACAGTTATTCCTTTAGATTAAATGGTAGATGCCTTTCCTGCAGTACACACAATCCAGAATTCAAACCAATGGAGGAGGAGGCCCTTGGAATTTCTGTTTCTCCCTTTTTTTCTGTCTTCTTAAAAATCTTGTTTATGCAATTAACATAAGAAAACATCATTAACAACACATTTTATAGTTAAAAAAATTATGTTCTATCAATTATGGTGTGACACACAATAGCTAAGAGTTCCACTTTTTGGTCATTTGTCACCTATTTTACTTACTTAAAGTTTGGCAAGTTTGAAGAATGATACATGTGAAGACTTTAGGGATATAGCTCTAGAGTGGCCATGTTCCCTGAGGGCAGAATGCGGCTTCAGTTCCATTGGAAACAATAGAAAATGTCAGCCATCTTTACTAGGGGATCATTAATTTCCCCTGCCCCACCCAATCCCCTTATGAAAGCGTGACCATTGAGTTACAACACTAAATGCAGCGTGAATGATTACCTACCTTGTGGGAAGGTAGCATATGTGTGCATTCAGTGCAAGGAGTTCATAGCCCTCAGAAACCAAGTACGGGCTCTTGAGACCGCAGTGGCTGAACTGGAGGAGCTAAGGCAGACAGAGAGATACATAGATGAGACTTTCTGGGACATTGTTTTCCTCCTCTCCAATTTGATGTTCTCCTTCCCTGAGATTTTCATCATCCTCAACAGCACAGAGGCTGTCAGACTGGGGGTGGGACAGCTCGTCTGACAGCCTCTGTGCTGTTGAGGATGATGAAAATCTCAGGGAAGGAGAACATCAAATTGGAGAGGAGGAAAACAATCCCATAGTTGGGATTAGGGTACCAGGTAGCAAGTGTGAAAAATTGGGACGGGGGCAGGGGTAATAGTTGCCTGTATAAGACAAAGCCCCCAAATATTGGGACGGTCCCAGTAATATCGAGATGTCTGGTCACCCTAGTTGGACCTTCCCTCCAGATGATGTCATGGTATCCTCTCACACTGAGGATCTCTCTTCAGGGGACGGAATCCCAGTTATTGGGAAGATATAGGTAATAGTAATGGGGGGAATCATTAGAAACCGTTAGAAATATAGCTGGGTCTGTGATAACCGGCAGAACCTCATGGTGAACTGCCTGTTGGTGGCAAAGATTGTGAATCTCTCGAGACATCTAGGAAGAATTATGTGCAATTGCCAGGGAGCAGCTGATGGTCATGATACATATAGGTACCAGTGACATAGAGAGAGGTAGGAGAGAGATCCTGGAGTCCAAATTTAGCCTGCAAGGTAAGATATTAAAGTCCAGAACCTCCATGGTATATTCTCTGAAATGCTTCCAGTTCCACGTGCAAGGCCAAGTTAGTCAGAATTGCAGGGTCTCTATGGATGGATGAGACAATGATGAAGGGAGGAGGGGTTTAGATCTATTAGGAACTGGAGAACCATTTGGGAAAGGAGGAGCCGATACAGGAAGGATGGGCTCCATCTAAACCAAAATGGAACCAGACTACTGTCATGTAAAATTAAAAGGTAATAGAAGAGTTTTTAAATTAAGGGCTGAGGGAAAGTTGACAGGTAAGGAGGAGCATGTGGTTAAACAGAGACATCCCATAGGGGAAGATCTATTAACAGGGAATCTCTATATCCTAATAAAGAGGAGAGGATAGAAGTTGATAAAGTACAGGTAGGAACTGAAGAGAAACAGTCAATGAAAAATTTCAGAGTAGCAGCCGTGTTAGTCTGTAGTCGCAAAAAGAAAAGGAGTACTTGTGGCACCTTAGAGACTAACAAATTTATTTGAGCATAAGCTTTCGTGAGCTGTATAAGGTGCCACAAGTACTCCTTGTGGCAATGAAAAAGAATCCCATTCAATTACATCACACGAAGGCAGACAACTAACAAGTGACAATTTTTATAAATGCTTGTATATAAATGCTAGAAGTCTAAATACTAAGACGGGTGAACTTCAGTGCCTGGTATTAAATTAAGATATTGATATAATAGGCATCACAGAAATTTGGTGGAATAATGACAATCAAGGGGACCCGGTAATACCAGGATACAAAATATATACAAATGACAGTGTAGGTCATGCTGGTGTGAGTGTGGCACTATATGTGAAAGAAAGCATAGAGTCAGATATAGTAAATATCGTCAATGAATCAAACTGTACCATAGAATCTCCATGGATAGAAATTCCGTGCTTGAATAATTAAGAACATAGCAGTAGGAATATACTGCCAACCACCTGACCAGGATGGTGATGATGATTGTGAAATGTGCAGGGAGATTAGAGAGGCTTTAAAAAAAGAATAATGGAGGATTTCAATAATAATGGAGGATTTCAACTATCTCCATATTGACTGGGTATATGTCACCTCAGGATGTGATGCACATATAAAGTTGACCATTTGTGATCCCAGATGCTGTGCCCATCAACTACGTGGTATTGCCTCAGAGTAGCAGTGGTCACTGAAACAACTAAAAATAAATGGTAATGTTAATAATCCAATCAATAGAATATTCCTCCCCCCTTGGAATTCCAAGGAATATGAAAAAAGTAACCATTGAACATAATATTGTCTTCCTGCAAGACTCTCTGTACTGGGGATAACAGCACTTACTAATCTGCCTAGGTATTGTGTTGTGAAGATCACTCTGAAATTGAAAAATACTGTATAAGTGCTAATTGTCATAATTAGTTATTAATAACTCTCTCCACCTTGTCTATTTTATGCTCTTTTTGGTGCTTCTGTGGTAAATCTGTTAGCTATTTCACTACACACAGAAATTGTCAGTGGGGATTCAGATATACCTGAGGTCATAACTTAAATGTTTAGCCAAAGAGAATGCACATTCCTAACACCGTAGGCAGATACTCTGTGAAATATTCAAAACCAGAACATCTGCCTGAAGGCTCAAACTGTACATAAATAAAGTAAATGAAGACATTAATTGAATTTGATTAAACTTACTGTAAAGAGGACAACGATTGAAACAATACTATCAAAGTTGGTAGTCTCTGATGAAGTTAGGAGAGAGAAAAATATGGCTAACTATAAATCACTAAGTGGCCAAGACAACTTTCTAGACAAAGATGCTTAAGGTAGGCAATGTTGGGAATGGCTTTGCTCCACAGTCCACTGGAAATAATAGATAGGAACTGAAAACAGTTACTGTTTACTGTTATCCCATAGTTTAACACACATGCATATCTTCAAAGTGTATTGTAACATGAAATTGTGTTCTTTACTACATACACAAAGCCTCTCCTGTCTGCTAAGCCTCTCTCAGTGTACCACATAGTATGTAACACATGCTGCATTGCAATTATGCAGAGACTGGCTGGAGCAAGGAGCACGTCACGAGTACATGTTTGTTAATATAATCACAAGATGCAACTTCTTTTCTGACCATGCTGCTGCTGCTTCTAATTCCTTCAGAATGAAAATAAAACCCTGCCACAAGCTTCAAGTTTGCCCATTGGCTGTTTCAGCATTGGCTGGTGCCATACATACAGAATATGTACACGTCCCCAGAAGTTCTTAGTGAGTTATGCTTGGAAAATGTACCTTTAAACTGAACATATGAGAGTTTTCTCAAATTATATATATCTATTCAAGGGTGGGGGAAGCTTTTCTGAACCACTGAAAAGAAACAAACTATTTTGACAACTACTAGGGAGATGACTGAGGCGTTGGCTACACTTGCGAGTTACAGTGCAATAAAGCCGCCCAGAGCGCTGTACCTCACTCCCTGTCCACACTGGTAAGGCACGTAGAGCGCTCTGACTCTGTGGCTACAGCACTGCTGGTACTCCACCTTGGCGAGTGGAATAATGTTTGCTGGACGCCCGCTGGAGCGCTGCGCTACCAGTGTGGACTCCCTGGCCCTATATTGCACTCTGATCGGCCTCCAGAGGTGTCCCACATGCCTGTTCTAGCCTCTCTGGTCATCACTTTGAACGCTACTGCCCTGCCCACAGGTGACCAACCGTCAGACCCACCCTTCAAATTCTCTGGGAATTTTGAAAATCCCCTTCCTGTTTGCTAAGCCAGGCATGGAGTGCTCTCAGCGAATCTTTCCAGGTGACTATGCCTCCACGCACGAGGCGAGACCCAGTATGGAGCAATGGCGAGGTGCTGGACCTCATCAGTGTTTGGGGGGAGGAAGCTGTCCAGTCCCAGCTGCGCTCCAGCCGTAGGAATTACGATACCTTTGGGCAGATATCAAGGGACATGATGGAAAGGGGCCATGAGCGGGATGCCCTGCAGTGCAGGATTAAAGTGCAGAATGCCTACCAGAAAGCCTGCGAGGCTAACCAGCACTCCATTGGTTAGCCTCGCAACCCCCGCCACCTGCTGTTTCTACGAAGAGCTGGACGCGATACTTGAGGGCGACCCCACCTCCACTCCGAGCACAACCATGGACACCTCAGAGGCCAGTCCAACAAGGCAGGAAGAGGAGGAGGAGGAGCAAAGTGGGAGCAAGGGTGCTGAGGAGGAGGAAGACACCCAGAACCCCTAGATGCATGCAGCCAGGAGCTGTTCTCAAGCCAGGAGGAAGGTAGCCATTCGTGGCAGCCAGTGCTTGGGGAAGGACAAACACCAGAGGAGGTTCCCGGTTAGCGGCTTTTATTTTGGGAAGGAAGTTTATTCGGTACGGGCTCTTGGGGCGAGGAGGGTTAGGGAGAGAGATGCCTAGATGCGGAATAGGACGTTGATGTGCTCTCTAACATCACGGTAATCGGCCTCAGTGATCTCTTCAAAGGTCTCAGCCAGAACTTGGGCAATGCGCTTGTGCAGGTTTCTTGGGAGAGCCATTGTGGTCCTTGTCCCAGTCAGGCTAACGTGTCCGTGCCACTGTGCCATGAGGGGCAGGGGGACCATTGCTGCACACAGGCAAGCTGCATATGGGCCAGGGCAGAAGCCACATTGCAGTAGAAGACCCTCCCTTGCTTCCCAGGTCACCCTCAGCAGCACCCTCAGCAGTCCAGGACGAACTCATCCTGTGGAAAATGTGGGGACAGTGTTCGGTATAGGGGCCCCCTGCCGCTGTTGGCTCTCCCCAGGGCACAGAAACCCAGAGGACAGTACAGCCTTGAAACAGTCACTCTTGAGCCTGTGCTTACTCACCATTTTGGGGCTCCCGTGGGTTATGTGTGCTTGCTTTGGGTTGGGCAAATTATGCTATTGTGTAGACCGTGCTTGCCCTTAAGTACAGGGGAATCATTGCTCTGTCTGGTGTGAACAATGCTGCCTCTGTTAATTGTTGCATTTTGCCTTTACAGATGCAACCTTGAGATCTCAGCTATCCGTGATATCACCGGCCGAAAGGCTCCAAAGAATCAGAAAGAGGCCACGTAAAAGCAAGGAAGACACGTTGCATGAAGTAATGCAGCATTCAAGTAATGAAAATTGAAAAGTGCAGGAGTGGCGGGACAGTGAAAGGAGGGTCCGCCAGCAGAATGCGGATCGCCGGCACCAAAGCATGGAGCGGCTGATAAGCATCATGGAGCACCAAGCAGACTCTATCCAGGCACTCATAGCCATGCAGAGCACTACCGCACTCACCCCCCACCCCGCAGCTCTTGTCCCAAAACTCTTTCCCTTGTGCCCCCATGTCACCTCCAACCCACTTTCCCCAACATCCAGGTTCTTACCGCCACCAACTGCCTCCAAAACCTGTAGCTTCACCACCCAGCCCTGAAAACTATGACCCTTACCCATTGCACTCAACCCCCATCACCATGCAGTATAGCCATCCTAAAGTGCAGCACTCATTGCACAGCACTCCAGACAGGACATACACAAATCTGTGATTGTACCGTTCCCCACCCCACCCCCTGGCCCTTTCTGTTTCCCAAGCAGTTGTGTTTCTTTTCAATAAATGAATTTTCTTTTCAATAAATGAATTTTTTGGCTTTGAAAATATTCTTTATTATTGCATGAAGAAAGAGATACCTTAGCCCAGGAAAGAAACAGGCACTGCAAGTCAGCGTAGCAAACATGGATTCCTACTAACATTGGAACCACTGCACTGTTCACTCCCGTGCAGGGCACCAGACATTACTGGTGGCTTCAGCCTCGAATTGCTGCCTCAAGGCATCTCTAATCCTTGCAGCCCCGCGCTGGGCCCCTCTAATAGCCCTGCTCTTTGGCTGTTCAGATTCAGCCTCCAGGTGTTGAACCTCCGAGTTCCATGCCTGAGTGAAACGTTCACCTTTCCCTTCACAAATGTTATGGAGAGTACAGCATGTGGATATAACCACGGGGATGCTATCATCAGCCAGGTCCAGCTTCCCATACAGAGAGTGCCAGTGGCCCTTTAAACAGCCAAAAGCACACTCCACAGTCATTCTGCACCGGCTCAGCCTGATGTTGAACCGCTCCTTGCTGCTGTCAAGGCTCCCTGTGTAGGGTTTCATGAGCCATGGCATTAAAGGGTAAGTGGGGTCTCCAAGGATCTCACAATGGGCATTTCAACTTCCCCTACGGTGATCTTCTGGTCTGGGAAAAAAGTCCCAGCCTGCAGCTTCCTGAACAGGCCAGTGTTCCAAAAGATGCGTGTGTCATGCACCTTTCCAGGCCAGCCTGTGTTAACGTCTGTGAAACACCCACGGTGATCCACAAGCGCCTGGAGAACCATAGAGAAATAGCCCTTCCAATTAACGTACTCAGAGGCTAGGTGGGCTGGTGCCAGAATTGGAATATGCATCCCATCTATCGCCCCTCCGCAGTTAGGGAAACCCATTTGTGCAAAGCCATCCACAATGTCCTGCACATTACCCAGAGGCACAGTTCTTCTGAGCAGGATGCGATCAATGGCCCTGCAAACTTGCATCAACACGATTCCAACGGTCGACTTTCCCACTCCAAACTGGTTAGCGACTGATCAGTAGCTGTCTGGAGTTGCAAGTTTCCAGATTGCAATAGCCACCTGTGTCTCCACCATCAGGACAGCTCTCAATCTCGTGTCCTTGCGCCGCAGGGTACGGGCGAGTGCCTCACACAGACCCATGAAAGTCGCTTTTCTCATCCGAAAGTTCTGCAGGCACTGCTCGTCATCCCAGACTTACATGACGACGTGATCCCGCCACTCGGTGCTTGTTTCCTGAGCCCAAAAGTGGCATTCCATGGTGGTGAGCATGTCCGTGAATGCCACAAGCAAACTTGTGTTCTATGCGTTACTCACGTCAATATCATCGTCGGAGTCCTCACTATCACTTTGGATCTTAAGGAGTAACTCGACTGCCAAACGTGACGTGCTGGCGAGACTCGTCGGCATATTCCTCAGCAGTTCAGGCTCCATTCCTGCAGCCCGAAAGGGAAGACAGAGCGCGCAGTACAAAAAATGTTGAAAGATGGTGCCAAATGTGGACGGAAGCACAAGGAATGCTGGGATGCGAACCAATGCATCACGGGGCATTGGGACAGGACCCAGAATGCCCCTCCCTGCCCCCTTCCCACAAGCCGCAGCGCCAGAATGGGAAGAGGTGCTCTGTGGGATTGCTGCCCATAATGCACTGCTCCCAATGCCGCTGCAAGTGCCGCAAATGCTGCCACGCCAGTGCACTGTCAGCTCTCGGTGTGGACAGACCGCAGCGCTTTCCCCACTGCGCTCTACAAAGGCGAGTTTAACTCACAGCGCTCTACATCTGCAAGTGTAGCCATGCCCTAAATGGTCAGACATAGGTCAGCTCTCTTTGAGGGTAGCTGGTTGGAACATTTTATTTTTATCAGATTAAAAGAGCTGTGCCTTCCCTCAGTGGACCTTTCGCCTGACCAAATTTATGTATGTTTTTTTTCTTCTCTTAGGCAAGTAGAGAATATGTTGGAGGCCGAATCATTGACACTGTTGCAGACTAAGCTCTGTTTCCGACTGTCAGGAAAAGGAGAGAGAGGGCCTGATCCCTCCAGGTTCTAGCTGACCATATGTAAGTTAATTTCAAAATGTGAAGCAATACTCAGCTGTTTGTAGGTACTATTTCCTCAGAGGTAGAGGCAAGTTGTATTTTCAGAGCCCTTTATTCCCACTCCCATCAATTAGTCCTGGCTTCTTTGTGATCTCCATAGGGGGAAAATATGGGCTTGCTCCCTTTTTTTGGTTCTTTTTGATGTATAAAGAAGCCATGAAAGGATTTTGTTTTATTTTTTTAAGACATTCAGGGCTTGTCTACATTTAAAACGCTACAGCGGCACAGCTGCACCACAACAGCAGCACCACTGTAGCACTTCAGTGTAGACATTACCTGTGCTAACAGGAGGGATTCTCCCGTCCATGTAGATAATCAACCACCCCAAGAGGTGGTAGCTAGGTGCAGAACAGAAAAATTATTCTGTTGACCTAGCACTGTCTACACAGGGACATAGGTCAGTTTAATTATCCTGCTGTGTGGATTTTTCTGACCACTGACAGATGTAGTTAAATTGTCCTAGTTACCTACTGTAGGCCAGGCCTCAGGTCTTGTCTAACCAGGATCACTCTTCGGTGACTGAAGAATTAGTGAAATGTTGATACCACAAAAGGCTGAAAGCTGAACACTGGAGAGCTGAGGGGATTTTTTAGTCAGACTGCTTAAAACTCTGTGGTTTTTGTTCACTTTTGTTAACATCTATTTAACACCAATGCATAATGAATAAGGCTAAAATTATGTCAGGGAAGTCACAGAATCCATGACTTCCAGAGACCTCCTGACATTTTCCACTTCAGCTGCCAGAGCAGTAGGGCCTATGGCAGAGTCAGGGGTTGAGCAGTGAGCAGCCCCCGGGGCACATTGGAAAGTTGGCACCTGTAGCTCCAACCACGGAGTCTGTGCCTATACAAGGAGCTGCATATTCACTTCTGAAGAGCCGTATGTGGCTCCGGAGCCACAGGTTGGCCACCCCTGGCCTAGATGGTAAATTACCAGATGGGTGTATAGTGTTGATCTTGACTAGCTATACTGAGGTAAAAACTACCTGCACCCTATCTCCATTAGGATTTTTATCAAGATAGTTATCACAATGTGAAAATGCACCTTTTTTGCAGCCAAGACATAGCCCTAATCCAGACAAGGTCTTGGTTGAAAGGATGTTTCTGTTAACGTTTCAATGGACACACTTCATCCCTTCAATTGAAGTGTGAAAACTCACAATAAATACCTGATACCACTTCTAGGAAAAACAGTGAAGACCAGCTTTTATGTTCTTGATACTTCTAAGGTAAAAAATAGACAGGCCTTTTTGGTACGTAATAAATGAGCTTAGAAGGACAAAAACTCCTTTTCAGGTCACCTTTATTCATCTATTCAGCGTTTCTATAGGGAAGTTTTATGATAACAGCACATTTCTTTAGAGGGTAAATTCCCTAAGGGCTGATCTATACACAGGTCCTTTGAGAACAGATTTAAATAAATTGCTTTAGAAACTGATTTAGTTAAATTGGTGAAAACCGTCTTACATTGACACACTTATATCAGATTGAGAGTGCCCTGCTTTGATGTAGTTTAAGGCCTTACCTACACATAAAGGTTTTTCAGTATAACCCAAGGAGTAAATTTAAACCACTACTGTTATACGAGTAACCCAGGTCAACATTCTAGGCATGTCTACACAACAGCTACAACAGCAGCAGAGCTATGGCACAGTGCCATAACATAGACACTTCCTACATCAGTGGCAGAGTTTTTACCATGGACGTAGTTAATCCATCTCTCCGAGAGGCAGCTAGATCTTTAGTACAGCAAAATACTCTTTAAGGAGGCTCACATATCCTCATGTGTCTTAAATTGCCCATTTGTCTGTAATGCAATTAAAACATGTAGAATCCTGTGTAAACAATAAGAAATGTCTGCCAGAAATTAAACCTCTGGCATTTTTATGACTGATTTTATTCAAACTATAAAATACCCCAAATAAATGGTATTTGGGATATGCCCTACTTGCAACTGCAAGGAATGAGATTTGTGTGTTTTGATGAGCTCATCCCTTCTATTTACATTAGATCATGGTAAAGAGTTTCAGGATATAGACTGGTGAGTCAGCAGCCACACAAGAGAAATCAGGGTGGAATTCACTGATAAAAATGAATAGAAAAGTGCCATCAACGAGATAAACACAATAAACACCTCTCTAGTGGTTGAAAAGCTCTGCTTGCAGTGAATAAAGGATTAAAGATGTCTTCGAGCCATACCCAAAGATGAAAGAGAGCTTTTATTCAAGAGAATCGGTGCTCAAGGAGAAAATGGAGAAATAGGGATCAAACAGCAAGTGAGGTTAAGGATCTCACAGATCAAATTCAGCTGAGTCTGAACTAAAAAATCAAACAGTCAGAATTTCTTCCCCTTGCAGTTTGTTTATGGAATATATTCTCTTCTCACTATATGCATTATAACAAATTAGGTCAGGCAGTTTTTTTCTTGGTACCCATATCATTATTTAACTTTCTTTTCATTACTGTTTAATCAAACAGAAGCAGAGTACAAACTGATAATGTATAGTAGCTCTGATGCGCCATACAATACAGTATGTCTAAACATATGGGGCCAGATTCTCAGCTATAAAACAGCTCTTTTTTAGCACCCTGGTGCAAAAGGGGCCTTAAAGGCTGCTTAACTGGCCAGCTAAGAATTTCCTTCTGCATGAGGAGAAACCCCTGGTGGTGTATAGGCTACTACTGGCCATGGAGCTTTTCTACTTAGGGCTTGGCTACTCTTGCGAGTTACAGCGCAATAAAGGAGCCCCGGGTGCACTAGCTCACTCCCCGTCCACACTGGCAAGGCACGTAGAGCACTCTGACTCCGCAGCTACAGCGCTGCTGGTACTCCACCTCGGCAAGTGGAATAACATTTGCTGCGCCCCTGCTGGAGCCGCCGCGGCGCCAGTGTGAATGAGGTGTTCCATTACTGCGCTCTGATCAGCCTCCGGAAACGTC